TTCTTTCATTGATGCTGTAAAGTATGGTGGCTGTGTAGGTCCTGAGCCAAGACAGAACCACCGCAGAAACAATTCACTCTACACTCTGACAGTGAGAAAGTGGGCACAAGCTGTTGTTGGGTGCGGGCTGTTGTGCTGGATACTGTGCTGCTAATATGTTCCTGAAGAGAACTGTGCTGTTGTAGCAAAGGCAGGCTTTCTGTTTATAGATATTTTATTCCAGACCCAGTGGAGCGCCTCTTGAAACGAGGAAAGGTGCAGAAATATGCCAAAGAAAGAGCATTTTGCAATGCTTTCCAGAAGGTGCTTTTAGTTGTATTGGGTGAGTTCTATTTTTTTCAGGTACTAACTGTTTTGCTTTGTAAGTACACAGCTGGGACAGAAAACTCAAGTTCTCAGAGTCCTCTTTTTCCTTTCAATTGCCAGTTATAATTGTTTATTGAACTACTAGTTTCCCTCCCACTTTCTAACTGCTTCTTCCAATACATTATATGGGGGGGGACCAGAGCCTGTCCTGGCAGGCAGTGGACACAAGGCAGGATACATGCTGGATGGGACGCCAGTCCGTCACAGGGTACATACAGTATAGGCACACTCACATCAGGGTCGGTTCTTCCAGAAGCCAATTAACCTACCACTATCTCTCTGGACTGTGGGAGGAAACCAGAGCACCAGGTGGAAACCCATGTGAACACGACGAGAACATGCAGACTCCACATAGATGGTACCCCAGGTCTGAAATTGAACCCAGGGCCACAGCACTGTGAGGCAGCAGTGCTAACCACTGTGCCACAGTTCCTCCCCTTTTTGGGGTCTCGTTAGCTAATTTAACAGTACCTGTGAAATGTGCAGGAATCCAGCTGTTGAGGCTGGTGGAGCAGCCCAGGTGCATTCACAGCCCTGGACCTGGAAGGTCTAAGTAAGGCAGTTATCAGCTTAGTTAAAGTAAATCAGAGCTCAGCTGGAAAACAAGAGACATGAGACCTTTAGGAGCAGAACCAGGAAGCAAGTGGTGGAGTGACAGACAGATCAATTAGTCCAAAGTGTCCGACCTGTGTCGCAGCACAGTTCTTGCTCATACCTTTCCTTGTTTTCCAGGTGATGGGAAGGTGGCCGTGGAGTGCAGGTTAGATCCAGATGAGATTGTGCCGGATGAGGATTTGGAAGGACTGATCCAGGTATGTTATTCAGCCTGTTAGCCTGGGGGCGAGTCTGTGTAGTCTGAAAGCAAGGACTTGTTGATCTTCAACCAGAACCTGTTTCAATAACCTCCCATTGTTATTAATTTAAAATCTGTCTGTGCTTTAGAATGCAGTCTTTAGTAAAGATTTAGTAAAGAAGTAATTTTAGTGTGCAAAAATTCCTCCTATGCATCCATCCAGCAGGTATATGACTATATATACGTTACCAGTACATACAATTCGGTTTGAAATAATAATTATGACGATGATGATCATTGTTGTGGACAAGAACAGGACATTGCCCTGATATACCAAATGTTGACCTGTTTTCTTTGTCAATTTCAGGTGAATGATATTTCCTGGAGTGAGTTTGCAGGTGTGGAGGAGGACGAGGACCTTCTGTATGATTTGAGTCTGAATATGACAGATGTGCCATGAGGTCAGACTCTCCTGGGTTTGATGTGTTAAAGGGGTGCCCTAACTAGTTTCACTGGGGATAGGGGGATTGTGAAGGAGAGTCTGTGATGAGGCGTTTGTAACTTTGGCAGTTTCATATTCCAGTGCTAACCTAGGGATTCTTAAATATATATAGGATAGAGCTCCCCACAGCACACTAAAAACCGTGTCCCAAAAAAAGTTTCCTTAAAGTGCGTTTTCTACTTTAAATGTCTTATACCTGAAGTTTTGAAATGTTGTATTTATTTAAATTCAAAAAAAAAAAGGGTTTGAAAAAAAAAGAAGCCGTTGGTTTAAAAAAAAAAAAAAAAATATTCGAATCACCATCTTTGTAGAGTTACACCGTATTGCGTTTTGTAAATGCCAATGTATAGAATTTCAAATCCATACTGCCTGAAGGTGACGGTGAGGCTCTAATCAATGTTACTGAATTGTTGTTGATATTAGACGTCATCTGACCGTCAGACTGCCGAAATGATGACCTCATAATGATCTCGGAACGGTTGCCGCGCAACTGACCGGCACTGTAGCGTACAATACAAATTGGAGCTGGAAGATATAAACTAGATGCCTATATAGGCCTTTGGAGCAATTATCTACTTAAATATTAAGCTATAGCCTAATTACAATTTTTATTTCACCATGCAAACAATTGGCAGCCTTCCGAGATGGTACCATTTCATTTTTAACGTTGAAGATCCTGTGTAGAATGCCCAGAAGGGCGGTCATTGTGGTAATACTAGCTCTT